CTGACTCCACAGTGAGACTGCCACAAAGCTGGATAGGATGTAGGGTCCTTGGGGAGCTTTTCAGGACCAGCTTACAGGACTGGGCAGTGAGGGACACCTTTGTTATCCTGCCAGGGCATGAGTGGCCTGTGTGCCCAGGCTGAATAGCAGCAGGAGTGGCGGCTGTTCTGCTCCTTGGCCTTCCCAGGTGTTATTGTGGGTCCTGCTTTCTGGGGATCGGCAAGGACACGGGTGTGCAGCCTCGCAGCGGACGTTGAGCAGGCCTGGCTTGGCCCGGCTCCTGTGTGTCCCCTGCTCTGTGCAGCCAGGGGCCTGCAGGGCCACATGCAGCTGATGGGTCGTCATTGCCCCTTTCAGGAGGTAGAGATCGCCAGCGTGGATGCCTTCCAGGGACGTGAGAAGGACTTCATCATCCTGTCCTGTGTGCGGGCCAATGAGCACCAAGGAATTGGCTTTTTAAATGACCCCCGACGTCTCAATGTGGCCCTGACCAGAGCTAGGTAGGCCAGCCCCAGTCTGCTCCCTACCTCTGCATCTTGTTCAGGCGCCCTTTCGCTCCCAGATCCCCGTGGCCGTCTGGGGTGCCATAAGTCTGTCTGTGTCTTCGTATCTCCCTGAGCCCCTCAGCCACAGTAGCATCGTGGCCCTGGTCCTGCCTGCTGCGTCCAGCACAGTGCTCAGAGACCCAGGGGGGGGAGGGCAGTGAGGGGATGGAGAAGTAGACAAAGCTGAGGTCAGGCAGAGCTCTCTGGCTGGCTAAGGGGAAAGGAGCTGCTGAGCATGGCGGCGCTTGCGCCCCTGCCTTGGGGCGCTCTTCACTTCTCTTGCTTACCTTGAATGCCCCCTGGGGCTGGAGCACCTGTTCCTTTGGTGCTCGGTGCTGTGGGCTCAACACATGGGCATGATCACTCACTCAGCCACATCTGACACCTGTCTGCAGTGACTCTGGATGATGGTAAAAGGAACCTGAGAGGAAGGTGGCCACAGTGTTGGGGGACACCACCTGTCTTCACCAGTGGCCTCGGGACCCAGCCTGTGCTGCATGCTAGCTGCACTGCACAGGCTGGGACCGCAGCTCATGGCCAGTCACCCAGTGGGTGGCCCAGCAGCCTAAGGGTGCGGGGAGCCTGGCTCGAGGCTGCAGATGGGTTTGTCCCCAAGTTTTGCACCCCCCAAGCCCACCCACCTCAGGGCTTTCCCAGATAGTTCAGTGGTTTAAAGCGCCACTTGGGCAAATGGAGTCAGGCACGTAATAGGGCAGTTCGATTCCACAACAGCACCAAAAGCTGCACCAGACCTGCCATTAAGACACCCGGAAGTCACCAAAAAAAAAATCCAAACTCACCCACCTCTAGTGCGGGAGCGGCCACAGCCAGGCCTCGGTGAGACCAACTGGGCTTAGGCTGTGCTCAGCCCACTTCCCGTCCACTCTGTACGCGGTGCCTGGCACCACCACGCCTGTGCTCTGTGCTGTCTCTCAGGTATGGCGTCATCATTGTGGGCAACCCGAAGGCGCTGTCCAAGCAGCCGCTGTGGAACCACCTGCTGAACTACTACAAGGAGCAGAAGGTGCTGGTGGAGGGGCCGCTCAACAACCTGCGCGAGAGCCTCATGCAGTTCAGCAAGCCGCGCAAGCTCGTCAACACCATCAACCCGGTGAGTGCCGCAGGGGGTGGACTCGCAGGACTCCAGCGGCTGCAGCAGGCCACCGGCCAGGAAACTGCCGACTGGGCACCCAGGTCTGCAGCCGCTGGGGTTCCCACGCCAGCCGCCTCGAGGCCCGGCGGATCTAGGGGAGGTCGTCTTCTGTTGACCTGACACATTCCTCACTGGCGTGTGACTTCGCAGGGGGCCCGCTTCATGACAACAGCCATGTATGACGCCCGAGAGGCCATTATCCCCGGGTCCGTGTACGACCGCAGCAGCCAGGGTAGGTCCTTGTGCAGGGCGTGATGTTCCCACGTCTCTCTGGCGCTCGCTCCTTGGGTGGCCTCAGGAGCTCAGGCTGTCACAGGTCTGCCTGACAGGAGGGGCTGTCCCTGTTGGCACTGGAGAGTGATCTGCTGGCCTCTAAGCGGGCGCCTTCTCCAACACGCAGCTCAGTCCCTCCGCCTTAGTGTCCCGGGGCAGCACAGTGGACCTTGGGGCCGCCCTGGCTGTTGTCTGAGGCCTGAGTGCAGTCAGCGCAGGGGACCTCCCCTCGTTTGCGGCCTCCTGCGCTTCCCCTTCTCTGTCCTGACCCTGGCCTTCATGGACCTCATCCTGTGGAACAACAGAGCTCCCTCCAGGGCAGCAGTGCTGAGGCACCTGGCCTGTCGTGGGCGCCCCATGGCCTGAGCCCTGCTCCTGGAGCCTCTGTGGCCCCTGCAGTGTCCCTGAGCCCAGTATCCATTTGTGTGTGCCAGGCCTGGCAGGTCTGTGTCCCCTGGGGATCCCCGTGAGGCACGTGGGGGAGAAGAAATATGCTACCGAAGGGGTCTCTGGAAGCGCCCTGCAGTGGCTAGAGCTTCGGCTCTCACTGGCCACCCTTCGCTCAGAATCCCAAGGGAGGAGAGAGCCCCCGTCGGCTTTAGGACCCACGCGGTGCAAAGCACCGCCTGACGCCTGCCGTGCGCCCTCCTCCTTCTGCAGGCCGGCCGTCCAACATGTACTTCCAGACCCACGATCAGATAGGCATGATCAGCGCGGGCCCGAGCCATGTGGCCGCCATGAACATCCCCATCCCCTTCAACCTGGTCATGCCACCCATGCCCCCGCCAGGCTACTTCGGACAGGCCAACGGGCCGGCAGCCGGTGAGCTTGAACACCAGCACTGCGCCCCTGCGTGCCAACCTGCTCTGCCCTTCCAGCTCACCTCTGCTGCTGTCTTTCAGCCCGGGGCGCCCCAAAGAGCAAGACCGGTCGTGGGGGGCGCCAGAAGAACCGCTTCGGGCTGCCTGGGCCCAGCCAGACCACCCTCCCCAACAGCCAGGCCAGCCAGGATGTGGCGTCGCAGCCCTTCTCGCAGGGCGCGCTGACGCAGGGCTACATCTCCATGAGCCAGCCTTCCCAGATGAGCCAGCCCGGCCTCTCCCAGCCGGAGCTGTCCCAGGTGAGCCCCGCGGCTCTCAGCTAGGTGGGCGGGGGCGGCGTGCGCTCGGCCACTCAGCCTCCTGCCTTGGCTTTCAGGACAGTTACCTGGGCGACGAGTTTAAGTCACAGATTGATGTGGCACTGTCGCAAGACTCCACGTACCAGGGAGAGCGGGCATACCAGCACGGCGGGGTGACAGGGCTGTCCCAGTACTAGAAGGTAAGTGGCCCTCATGGCCCACGAAAGAGGAGCCACGTCAGGTGGCAGTGGCGGGGCTCTGTTCTGCAGCTCCCAGGGGCCGTGGCTTCCCTTTGCCGTGGTGACCTCAGGGGCTTGCCTCTCCTGGTACCTTTCCTGTCCCCCAACAGGTGGCGGCGGAAGAGCTAAGCTCTGTGGCTTAGTGCATCAGCATCTTATTCTGGGTAATAAAAAATAAAAATAAATGGATACCTGTTTTCCACTGCTAAAACTGAGGCACCACTGTGTGAGCAGCAGGAGGGAGAGGAGCAGCCCAGGGAGAGGAGCCGAGCAGCAAGCGCCCCCGTGGGCACGCGGCGGCTGCAACGGCGGCGGTGGCGGCGGCAGCGGCACGAGAAGGAGAGGGAGAGGAGACGGAGGTGGCGGCCAGGAGCCCGCCGCCCGGGAGGCCCAGCTCGCCTGCACCCTGGGCCCGTGGCCAGGCGGAGGGAGAAGACCCTCATCTCAGAGTAGCCCTTTCCTCCGTTTTTTTCTTTCTTTTCTTTTATTGAAAGGGGACTACATTTTAGCAGGAAAAACTTCGCATTTCTGTGCCCTAGCAGGCTCCTGACGGCGGCCGGGCCCGGGCCCGGAGGCGCAGCCCCGGGCTGCCCAGGTCCCCTGGCCTGTGTTCTAAGGGATTTCACTTAAAGAAAATACGGTGTTTTGGGTTTTTCTGTTTGTTTTTTTAAAGATTTTTCAAAGAAGTACTGAAAAATACTTTTCTAAGTTTGTCTCTAAGATCTTAGCAGTGGACCTGGGAGTCATGAGCAGCTTCCAGAACGAGGTGTCAGCTGGTGGCACACCCAAGGCTGGAGCGGCGCGGACATGAGCGCAGGAGATGTTTCAGGTTTTGCTTCAGCAGCTCTGGGCGGCAGCCGGCCAGAGGCCCGCGCCTGCCTTCAAGGACTCTGCAGAGCGTTGCTGCTCCCCGCGCCGTGGACTCACCGGGGCTCTTGCCGCCCCCAGAAGGTGCTCGGTGGCCCCACAGCGATCTCAGCCAGGACTGGCAGAGCAGGACAGCGCCGTTCCCAGCCGTTGGCTTTTGTCCCTTGAGATGTGGAAGGTGACAGAAGGCACCCAGTCCTGCACTGGCCCTGAGCCAGCCTGCCTGCCCGCCCAGGTGGCCAGCAGCAGCAGCTTGTGGGGAAGGAAACATGCTGAGGGGCGGGCGGGCGAGCGGGCAGGCCGAGGGCCTGCGGAGGCCGTTCCTCAGTGGACAGCCCCGGCCTGCTGTGGGCCCGCGGCGAGAGCCGCCCGTAGGGGGGCTGCCAGCCTCCCTGTCCGGGCGCACAGCGTCGGAACCAGCGGATGCAGGACGCACGGGCCTCGCCTGACAGGGCAAGGCTGCTTCCCATAGCAGGCTTTGGTCCCTTTGTAGGCCGCTAGAGGCAGCCCGCTGGCCCCCACCCACCCGCTGACCTCCCCGCTTGGCCTCTGCTTGTGCCCTGTGCTTTGCCCTCTACTTCCCAGCAGCGGTCGCTCAGAGTTCTGCCAGTTGACAAGCATCCGTACCAAGGCAATGTAACTTGATTTTTGGTCAATACGTTTTAAGCTCTTTTGTCACCGATAAAATCTTAATAAACAGTTCCTGCTTTACATGGGGCTGGCTGGATTGCATGGAGGGGAGGGGCAGGAGCCGGGCCCCACCTGGCCCCTCTCTTGGCGGCTTGGAGCTGGGGACACCTCGCCCTGCCCTGCCCTGCCAGGGTCATCAGGAGGTGCAGTATGGTTCCTCCCCGCTCCTGGGGACGCAGAGGAAACCGCACAGGTGTTTACTGTGGTCAGCGGCAGCCACACTCGTCCACCACCATGTCCTCGTAGTGCCGCAAGACCACGTTGTCGCTGTTGTCAAAGAAGAGCACAGAGATGGGCGACAGGCGCGCGGGCACGCAGCAGGGCAGGCCGGCGTTGCTGGGCGAGGCCGCGTGCATGAGCGCGCGCAACACTGCATGGTTGAGCGCAGGCGGCGCCCCGGGCCCGGGCAGCGCACAGTGGCCCTGGCAGTAGTTGGCCAGGAAGCCGCGCGGCGCAATGACCCAGCGGTGCCAGCCCACCTCGCGGAAGCTCACATACAGTCGCCGCGCGCGGCAAGCGCCCCTGGAGACGCCGCCAGCGCCGCTGGAGACGCCGCCCACCGCAGGCTCGGCCTCTCGCCTGAGTCGGCCCAAGGGGTGGCACAGGCGCGGATCTAGGGTCACCAGCAGCAGCGCAGCTTCGGCCAGGCGGGCGCAGGCAGCGGGCACTTGGGGCCGCAGTGCTAGCGCCAGGCGGAGACTGCGTGGGGCAGACACGTGCGGGGCCCAGGGCGTGCCCGGCAGCTCGGCGTGCACCAGTGGCCCCAGGGCGCGCACCTCCTGGCGCAGCAGCACGGGCCCGGGGCCCGCGGGCGCCACGCTCAGCTCCCAGCTGCCCACAGCCACCGCAGCACCGGGACCCGCCGCCGCAAACCGCAGCTCCAGGCGAGCCAGGCTTGCTAGCTCCAAGGGCTCCACGGCCGACAGGTCAAAGTCCACAGTCCACTCGGGACACGACGCCGAGGCAGAGGGCTCCGGGGGCCGGGCGGGCGCACCTGGGAGGCAACAGAGGAGGAAGGTGAGCGCAGCGTCCTTGCTGGGGCGTCCAGGCTGGGGGATCCCCCCCCCCCCGAGGCACCAGGTGCAAGGAAGGGGGCCCTGCAGGGTGCGGGGGTGGGCCGAGGAGCTATCTGCTGGCCAGCACCGGAAGGTGTGAACTGGCAGGCGCGGGGGCAGGGGTTGTCCTGGATACCTTCCAGCTAGGTCCAGTCGAGTAGGGGGTAGGAGACCAAGAGGGGCACCGTGCGGAGGCTCAGGCTGCTAACGGCTGAGTGGGGCCCGAGGGACCCCGCTCCTCCCCATTCAGGTCTCAGCCCCCAGCTGTGAGCCCCCACTGCAGGCCTCACTCACCGCGATCCGGGATGTGGCGCACGATGTTCCCGGCGACCCCCAACTCCTCCACGTGGCACGGTCGCGGGGTGGTCCCTAGGGACGTCCATCGCTGGCCAACCCTGGCCTCTTGGGGGTCGCGACGGCGGAACAGTCGCCACATGAGTGGAGGCACCGGCCTGGCCTTGGGGGCGCCCCGAGGCGCGTCATGGAGCCCAAGCGCCTGCAGCAGGGCTGCGGTGGGGCCCGGGGGCGCGGGGGCCCGGGCCATGGACAGTGATGGCAGCAGTAGCGCGAGGAGGAGGAGGGTGTGGTGGCTGGAACCACGTCGCGGCGGTAGCATCTTCCAGGGAATGGCCGGAGCGGGAAGGGTCGCCAAAGTCGGGACCTGGCCTGGGGCGGGGCTAAGCACCTCGTGGGCCAGGGGCGGGGTCAGCAGGCGGGAGGGGGGGGCTGGAAGGGGGCCTGAGCTTCCGGAGCCCTCAAGTGGTGAGTCTAGATGGAACCAGAGGGGAGGGGGTAGCTTGGGGCGGGGCGGGGCGGGGCGGGGCCAGCTTCTGGGAGGTGGGGCTGGGTCAAGGGGTTCAGAGGCGCTTCTCTTTCACCAGGCCGTTCTGCAGCCGCTTCCTGGGGACCAGAGCGCAGCGCAGGTTAGCCTGGGCCTGCGCCCCGCCTGAGACCTGGACCATCCAGCTGTCCCCATGGCCCACCGTCTCGTCCGCCAATCCCTTCACCAGGCCTGGACCTGCCCCAGTCCTGCACACTGAGCCCCAGGCCTCTGGGAGCAAAACTACAGGCCCCGCTGGGTTCCTGGCCACGTGGCGTGAGGCCCGGCTCAGGCGAGCTTTGACAACTCGCTCCCACCTGTGCCCTGTCCACCTTGAGCTCCTGGAGGACACTCGCAAGACATGGACGTGGCCACCCTGTCCTAACAGTAAGGCCCCCTTTTCTTAGAACTCACATTTTCCGGAAAAACCCAACACTGGGGAGAGGGGAGGTGCACCCCCACCCCCAGCCCCACAGTAAGAGCCACACTTCCCGCAAGTGTCCAAGGGACGCAGCTGAATGATAGTCCCTGCCCCTTATCTCCGCATCCAGAGGGACCAGATGTCCCCTCGCTGGGGGCCTGGCCTACCTACCGGTCAGGGCCGATGGCCCCGTGCAGACGTGTGGAGGGCTGGGCACAGGCCTGCGGCTCCAGCTCTGGACATCATCAGCACTAGTGACTTGCACACAGCACTGTCCCAGGAGACAAGTGCCACCAGTGTGCTGTCCCCCACTCCCCTCTGGCACAAACTGTCCTGAGCAAGGGCTTCAGCTTTTCTTTCTGAGACAGGGTCACACATGTCACTCAGGCTCAAACACCTGAGCTCTGGTCCTGCTTCACCGGTGGCCTGAGTCTCCGAGACCGCAGGTGTACGCCAGGGATTGCTTGTTTCTGTGCTGCTGCAGACGGAATCCAGACCCTTCCGCTAAGCTGCAGCCCCCGACTTGCGGCTCCTGCAGTCACCCAGGCAGGGCTTTAACTCACAACCTCCTGTCTCAGTCTCTTTTACACAGTTTACAAGGAACAAGATGCCCCACTGGAGCAGTCCTCCGTCCTCCTCTATTACTGGTCTTGATCTTTTTTTTTGCTATGTAGTCCAGGCTGGCTTAAACTCTGTGTGACCCAGATCTCTGCGTCGCAAAGGCTGGCCTTGAACTCATAGCTATCTTCCAGCCTCAGCCTTCCAAGTGCCGGATGACAGACGTGTGCCACCGCCCTGTCCGGTCTTCGACTCGATCTCTGAGGCTCTCTGAGGAGCCGTGTGCTCTGGGCAGTGCTGCGGGTAGAGCCAGGACCTGCTCCCAGTGGGCTCTGCAGTGTCTTATTCCTGAGCTGGGGTCTTGGGTGTTCTGAGGTGGGCCTTCATTTGTCATCTGAGTGCCTTTGAACTCCTGAGCCCGGGGGCCACCTGCCTGGGCCTCTTGAGGGGCTAGGACTACCCGGGTTGCTTGGTTGCGTCACCCGGCTTGTTCCATTGTTCGTGGTGCTGGCAGTGGAGACCAGGGCTCACGTGTGCAAGGCAAGACTCAACATGCAGCTGCACCCAAGCACTTTTGATTTTGAGCTAAGGTCTCACTAAATTGCACAGGCTGGCTTGGAACTTGCAATCCTCCTGCCTCGGCCTCCCAAGTAGCTGCGATTATCTCCTTGGACTGTTTCAATTCTTATACATTTTTGTTTAAGATGGAGTCTCCCTATGTGACCCAGGCTGGCCTCCAAGTCCTGGGGTCAAAGGGTCGGCCTGCCACACTCTCCCAATCAGCTGGGACCGTGGCTTATGACTCTGTGGCTACAGCAGGGAAAGCAAGAACCCTGGAGGGTAAAAGATGAGGCTCCAGGATGTGAATTCACAAGTAAGGGGAGGCAGGGGGTAGAGGCTGGACTTCCTGGGGCTCCCCTGGGGAGCATGTCTTGGAGAGGAGTCTAGAGCAAGGGGGCCCCCAACAAGAACATGGGGCAGGGCCGGCCAGATAGCTCAGTGGATTGAAGCTCCTGCAGATGCAGGGGCGCCTGTAATCCCAGTGCTTGGGAGGCTGAAAACAGGAGGCTCACTATGAGGCCGATCTGTGTAGTGAGGCCCTGTAGACCCTGTACTAAATACAAAAAAAACAAAGTGTGGGGCATAGGTCAGGGCCCCGGGGCAGAAGGGAGCCATGCTGGGCTGCTGTGGGAAACGGACCAGCACAGGGCTTCAGGTGGCCCACGCCTGTGATCCCAGTGCTTGGGAGGCTGAGGCAGGAGGATCACCGTTAGTTCAAGGCTGGCCTGGACTACATAGCGAGACTGGCCTGTCTCAAAAACAGAAAAGGAGGTTGGGGTGCTGGGGATGCAGCGCAACGCAGAGCTGGCTTTAGTCCCTGGTCTGGCCAAAATATAAAAATAACATAGTAGGCATTTGAAATGCATTTCTTGTTTGCATGACAGGGTCTCAAAGCCATAGCTCCAGTGCTCCTCCTGCTTCCCCTCCCTGAGGGTGGGGCTCCGGCTGCAGGACCCTGCCTGGCCCTGTCCTCGCTTCTGACGCAGAGCTGCCTCGGTGCTCCTTTTCCTGGGCTGTTTCCAGGTGGTTTTCCTACTTCCAGACAGTCACTAAGCCATCCCCTTCTTTTCTGCATGGCACCTTCTCCTCCTGTGCGGCTTCCAGGTGTCACTTTCTTCCATCCTTTTCTTTCCCCCCCATTTGCCACTTTCTTCCCCCTCCTGGCCTGGAGTCTGCTTCCTCCCAGCTTCGGCCACCGGTGCTCTGCGCCTGCGGCTGCTCTGGTCCGTGCTGGAGCCGCTTGGGGGCCAATGCCTGGCTGCCCGTCCTGCTGAGGACCTACGGCTTGTCCATCTTGTCGTCTTGTCCCCTCTTGGCTGCTGGCTGCATTCCACTCTATTGGCTAATCCCCATAAGCCCAGCTTCCTTATTCTCAGACATCTAAACTGCACTCTCGGCCACCTACTCTAGCTTTCGATCTGCCAGCTCTCTCTTCCACTGAACGTCACTTAGCACTGGCTGTAGGCTGAATGGTGGCCCCTAAGAGATGCGTCCGTACCCTGCTGCTGAAGAGGCTGAGGCAGGAGGATCTCCACCTGGAGCCTGCAGAGGATTCAGGGCTGCCCATGTCAGGACATCAGCCCCCTCTGTGCTGCAGGTTGGCTCGTGGCAGTAAGCTGAATGGCCAGCACGAGGTATTTTGTTATAACAGCCAGGAGAAGAACCATAGTAGTGATTCCATTTTTAATGGTAGTTCATGCAATTTAATTATTGACTGAGATAGCCAGGGTCTCACGCTGTGCGCAGGCTGGCCTCCCAGCTCGTGACCCTCCTGCCTCGGCCTCCCAGTGCTGGCATTCCAGGCGAGCACCAGCACAGCCAGCTGCTCATGCGTTTTATAGAGTAAGAGTTGCTAGTCTCCAGGAACGCTGCAGGGCAGCACGCGGCGCGCCCTCACCCAGCCTGCCAGTGCTGCCGCGTTTCGGACACCCAGTGAAGAGCCCAGTAGGCGCGCTTTAGGAGCTAAGTCCCACGCGTTACTTGGAGTGCCAGTGTCCCCACAGGTGTCCTGTTCCTGGTCCAGGAGGCCACACTGCATTCAGCTGCCCACACTCCTTAGTTTGTGCGGATCCAGGACAGTTTCTCACTGTTCTTGTTACTCAGAATCTTGAGAGCCCTTCCTTCATTCCTCCCTCCCTTCCTTCCTTTCTCCATCTGTTTCTCTCTATTTTGTTTTTCTCTTTTCGGTTTTCTAAGACACGGTCTCACTATGTAGCCCAGGCTGGCTTTGACCTCATGGCAACCCTCCTGCTTTAGCCTCCCAAGTGCTGGGGTGACAGACGTGTACTGCCATGCCCCATTCCAGGTTCCAGGGCCAGCACAGCATGCAATACCAGGGACTGAACGCAGGACCTTGCACTTGCCTGGGGTAAGCCACTGAGCTACCTCCTCCACCCATGATCTGGTTACAGACAGATGCTGCAGGTGGTGCTTCTGGGTCACTGTGGCAGGGTGTTCCTGGCAGTCACTTCTGTGAACACTGGAGCTACACAGTTCTAGTAGAAACATTCTTGGGCGAGGCCTGGGGTGCCTCCCGTCACCTCCTATCCTGGCCTGACATCTTCCGCGACAGGGAGGGCACCGGCGGGGCTGGGAGGCCCAGCTTGAGCCTCACGTTCCATGGCAAGAGAACTTTGTTGGGGTTTAGGGTTGGTCAATCCTGTTCCCCTACTCCAAATTCTAACTGCTAGAAGCCTCTGGAACCTTCCAGAAGGCCCCTTGTGAGACCGTCCCAGTCTCCACAGGGCTCTTGCCCCATCGACAACACACGCTGAGAGCCTGACGTACCCCACGTGAGACTCACGCCCTGCTGGCAGGCACCCGGTGCAGCTGGCCGGGCCGCAAGCAGCGTTCTGGGCCAGAAGTCTGAAGTTGTCTTCAATGTTTTTATTTCTGCTTCAGCCACATCCACAGCAAGACTGACTGGCTCTGCTTCCTACACAGCCTTGCTGGCTGACCACACTCTTGTGCCCACAGGACGGTGACAGCCTTGCTGGGGCCAGCTGGGACCTGGCTGGGATGTCACCATTGCCCAGCCCCGTCTTGGAGTCACCCCAGCCCCACACTCTGTCCCAGATGCCTCTGAGGCCCTGGAACTCCTCCTCTGTAAGCCCCGTGTTTGGGATCAGGCATAGGGGCATGCATCTATTGGCCTAGCACTCTGGGAGGCTGAGGCAGGAGGATCAAAGTTTGAGCCCAGCCCAGGGAATGTTGTGACTTAGCAAGACCTAGTCTCAAAGTAAAAAAAATGTCAAAAGGGGGCTAGGGGTATGGTTGGGGTAGAAGCCCTAGGTTCAGTCCCCAATACCAAGAAAATTTCCCCCTCCAGCCAATAAGAAGGCCTGGCTACCCAGCACCTCCCAGAACCACCCACCAACTGATGCCTCAGGGGACATTGCTTGCCACCCTCTCTACACAGGGGTTTCTTCCAGGGGTTCCCATGGAAGCAACCCGCCTCTAGCCTGCACCACAGCAGCCTGCCCAGGGCCCCAGGGCCTGGATGTTTCAGCATGGACAAAGCATGGTCCTGTCACCCTGGCTTGGGTTGGGCCATGACCAGAGGTCACTGTAAGCCAGGGCCCGGGTGAGTCCCAGAAGCCCCTCCCAGCCAGCTCCGCCCCAGGTACTGCGGGTCACTGCGTCCTCCGCTGCCTCCTTGGTGGCTGCAGGTTACGGGACAGCGTCAGCACAGCCTCATCCGCTGCCCACAGAGCCTGCCAGGACCGCTGTCGCTCAAGGAAGGAACTCAGGCCCCAGGCCCTGCACTCACTCAGCTTTGCTGGGCTTGGGGCTGTGGGCTTCGGCGCAGTCGTACTCCCGCAGGTCGCTCAGCTCGCGCATCTGGCCCGTCAGCACCTTGACCGCCAGCGCCATGATGTACTGTGGGGGAGGCGGCGTGAGCACAGGCCCTTCACCTGCGCCCGCACCTGCGCCCGCACTCGCACCTGCATCCGCACCTGCACCCGCACCTGCACCTGCACCTACACCTGCAGTCTAAATGTGCATGCACAGCCGCCCAAGGGAAGGCCGGGCAGGGACTGCCTTCAGCAAGCGGGGAAGCCACTCACCAGGAACCAGTACAAGTTCATGGCGGTGAGCAGCAGCAGGAGCGTGTTGAAGAAGAAGTAGAAGGGGATGTCAGGCACCGAGATGAGGCTGGTGTGCAGTGTGGCATACAGGACCTTGAGTGGGAACCAGTACAGCCGGAACCAGAACCTAGGAAGGCGGAGGAGCTCGGGAGGCTGCTGCAGAGGGGATGGAGGGCCCTACCCTTCTGGGTCCCTCCCTGCAGCCTTGCAGGCCCCACCCCTTTCCTGGAAGCCCCGCCCACCCGCTTTCGTCCCACCCACTGACCAGCTGACGCAGAAGCACAGGCAGCCCAGGTCACTGAGCAGCGCGTGCAACCGACGGTGGGTGCCACCCGCTGCCCGGAAGTAGGTGTTGATCTTGGTGAACTCCAGCTGCACGTCATTGAGGTCGTGCAGGAAGAACACGAGGATGCCCACGTTGTGGTACCTGGGTGGGCAGGATGCAGCTCACACGGCAGCCCTACTCACCTGACCTTCCTGTCCCTGTCGCCAGAACCTTCTGTGACCCTGACTCTGAGGCCTGAACCTCAGGCTGCCGCGTCCCCATAGGGTTTGGGGGTGTAAGGGCCCCTTGGCCCACCTGACACGGCCAGGGAGCAGCCACAGCGTGCGGGCTCCCGCGCAGGCCCTTTGCGCCTGCTGCTGCTCCCAGTCACCTCCTGGGGCTCATGCCTACCCCGTCGGTCATCTGACTGCCTCAGAACTTTCCAGAACCACATCGATGTTCTAAATTCATAGTCCCCCCACAGAAGCCTCCTGAATCCCAGCCTTGTGGCCAGTGCTGGGCCTTTATGTAAATTGGGTTTAAGTGGAAACGCAAAACCATCTGCATGTGCCTGTGGCCTCAACTACTAGGGAGGCTGAGGCAGGAGGACTGCTGTAATTCATGGCCAGTGTGGGCAATACATGGAGACTCCATCTCAAAAATACATGCACACAATAGAACCCAGTATATGCAAAGTGTTGTCATTTCCATGTATTATCAATAGCCACGGCGGGGTATGGCAGCTCATACCTGTAATCTAGAGCTTGGAAGTCTGAGGCAGGAGGATGGCTGTGAGTTCAAGGCCAGCCTGAACTATACAGCCAGACCCTGCCCCAAAACACTAGGGGAAAAAATCAAGCTAAAATCAAAAAATCAATCAAAAGGATTGACAAGAAGCTACTTTTCAAGGCCAGGGAGATGGCTCAGTAGAATAAGCGTTTGCCTGGCAAGCACAGGGCCTGAGTTCAATCCTCGGTTCCACCAAAAAAAAAAGCTACTTTTCACTTTGGCTTGTAAATGAGTTTTTATTTTTAAAATTTTTATTTATTTTTATGTATTTCGTACAGAGTCTCATTGTGCAGCTCAGACTCGTAGGGATCCTCCTGCTTTCAGCCTCCCCAGCGCCGGGATTACAGGCATGCTCCATGCCAGGCCTCTGCGGCTCACTAAGCGGGGGGCAGGGCGGGCTCGGCATGTAGTGCTGGGCATGGAACCCCGGGCCTGTGCTTGCCTAAGCAGGCGCTTAGTCCACTGAGCTATCTCACTGGCCTTTTATTTTCATTGATACGTGAATAGAAAACATATTAGATTTTCGGGTAGGCAATACTGAAGATGGAACTCAGGGAGTTAGACCCTGAATTAAGCCCCAGCCCTCTGTATTTGATTTGATTTGATTTGATTTATTTTGGGGGCGGCAGAACCAGGGATTGAACTCAGGCCCTTGCACTTGCTAGGCAAGCACTTATTCTACTGAGCCATCTCCCTGGCCCTGTATTTTATTTTGAGACAGAATCTTAGTAAGTTACCTAGACTGGACTCAGACTTGGGACCCTCCTGCCTCAGCCTCCTGGGTAGCTGGGACGCCGGTGTGAGTCACCACTGTGCCCAGTAATTGCAGCCAGACCTCCAGTAACCCCTTCAGGACTTGCTCCCCGCTCCCCGGGGCTGGGTGGCAGCCCTCCAAGTCCGTTCCTCACCATCTGTGGAACCCTGTCCTCCCTGGGCCTCCAGGTAGCCAGCCTGCTGCGCTGCGGCAGCCCTGCTCCACCCGCCCAGCCATGCCCCACTCACCGGAAGGCGTAGGAGCAGACGATGAGGGCCAGTGTGACCACGTGGTGAATGAGCATGACCACGGAGTCCCTGCGCCAGGTGTCCATGTAGAGCGTGGCGTAGACGGAGTGGCCGTAGAAGCCGCCCTGCAGCAGGTAGCAGGCTGCAATGTCCCGGGGCACCGCCGCGCCTGGCGTCCAATCTGGGGACAGCAGCGCCACAATGAGGCAACTCCAGGACCTGCATGCAGCCCACCCCAGGGCCCACCAGCGGGAGAGCCACAGCGCCCCCTGTCTGTGGCAGAAGTGACAACTAGCTTTATTTTGCTTTTCTTCTTTTGAGACCCAGTCTCTGTGGCACGAGCTGGCCTTGAGCTCACAAGTGCCCTGCCTCAGCCTCCTGCGTGCTGGCTCACAGGGCAGCACCTGCATGCCCAGCCTGACCACTGGTTTTCCACTCTCAGGTCTCTACCCACCGTTCATTAACAGCGCCCCACACTGAACCTCCGCATTGAGCTCTATCCCTGGCTTTGATTTACTTTTGTCTTTTTGAGACAAAGTCTCCCTGTGCAGCTCAGGCTGGCCTTGAGCTCACCAGGCAGCCCAGGCTGTTCTGGAACTTGCAGTGATCCTCCTGCCTCAGCCCCTCAAGTGCTGGCATTACAGACATGCACTACCGCCTCTGGCTTGTCCTTGGCGTTTTGTTTTTTAGTTTGAAACAGGGCCTCACTGAACCATTCTGTTGCTCAAGCTTAGCTCAAACTTGGGATCCTCCTGCCTCAGCCTTCCATAGTACCAGGATGACATATGACGTCTTCTAACAACAGGCTGTTAAACAGGCTTAAGTTTCTAGAAATTTCCAGCTGGGGAGATAGCTCAGAAGCGTAAGTGCCTGTTTGGCAAGCACAAGGTCCTGAGTTCAATCCCTGGTACAAAAACATAGAGATAGATACAGATATAGATCCAGCAGGCAGCAGAAAGGGCTCAGACTGTGCGTTCCTCATGCCTCAGCCTCCCAGGTGCTGGGATGACAGTTGTGCGCCGCCACACCGGGCTCCGTGTATTCCTCTTTTTTTTTTTTTAAATTTTTATTTTTTTTTTTTCCGTGTATTCCTCTTAAACTGCTCCCAAGGCCATAGCACTCAAGCGTGGAAGTCCTCTGCACACACACACACCCCGACACTGGGCGCATCTCCAGCACTGGGCTCTCCCATGAAGCCCGACCTACAGAGCTGCCCTGCTCGCACCTGAGCCTGGGGTCCCCATTGCCACCTGCTTCTGCCTCAACCCACCCCTGGTCACCATCCCTGAGAGCTGCAGACACCAAGACCCCCGGCCCCACTGTGTCCCAGCTCCCCAACTCTGCAACCAACCCCCCTCCTGTGACCCAGTCCACGCCCCCAGCCACCCTGCCACTTGGCCTCCACAGCCACCCGGCACCTTCGCCACCAGGTCTGTCAGGAACTGGACGCCCTCAGCTGGGCATGTGGCTGCACACCTGCTACTCCAGCTGGTCGCGAGGCTGAGGCCAGAAGATCACACAGCAAGACCCTGTCTGCAGTGCAAAGGCAAAAGGGCTGGGCACAGCTCAGCAATGAGTGCCGGCCCAGCACTGAGGCCCTGGGTTGTGTCCCAGCGCTGCAAGAAAACTACAAAGCAAGGAAAGGGCAGGGGAGACAGCTCAGCAGCCTAAGCTGCTGCCTGGCAAGTACAAGGCCCCGGCTTTATACTGTGTAGTGGCGCACGCCTGTAATCCCAGCACTGGGAAGGCTGAGACAAGAGGATCACTACAAGTCCAAGCTGCACAGCAAGAACCCATACCAAATAAATAAAACATTAAATTTTGTTTTGTTTTATTTTTTAAAAGGTAAGGAGAAAACAGAGCCGCAGGTCCTTTCCTCCCTGGTCCGTAGCGGCCAAAAGGCAGATGGGTCAGCCACGCCCCAGCGCAGAGGGACAAGCAGCAGTATGCAGGACAGCGGGCCTCACTTGGCCAGGAGGGCACAGAGCACTGACACACACAACCTCCCAGGGTAACCCTGAAAATGTGACACTGAGCCACACATGCAAGACAGGAAAGGTCACACGAGCACAGAGCCACTAGTGGAAAAGTCCTGAATACCACAGGGCTGTGTGTGTGCATGTGCATGTGTGTGTATGCATGTGTGTGCTGCACACCTGTGATCCCAGCACTCTGGCAAGCTGAGGCAGGATAGCTGGGAGTTTGAGGCCAGCCTAGGGTGAGCTCAAGACCAGCCTGGACTTTATAATGAAACCCTGTCTCAAAAAGACCAAAATGGGCCGGCCAAATAGCTCAGCAGATTGAAGTGCCTGCAAGCAGGCGCAGGGGCCAGGGGTTCAATCCCCAGGCCTGCAGTGCCGACCCCGCTCCCAGGGTGTGCTGAGACAGCAATTGAGACCTGGCATGTGGTGCGCCTGTAATCCCAGCTCTTGGGAGGCTGTAAACAGGCGGATCACTACGAGTCCAATCTAGTTCTGAAATCCTGAACACCCTGCAGACCCGTCCCTAAAATACTAAATAAAAGACCAAAATAGGGCTGGGGGGATAACTCTGTGGTCTAATCACCTGCCTGGCAAGTGCAAGGACCGGGGTTCGATTCCCAGTACCACATGCCATTCCGGCCCAGAACCCACACCCTGCTGACCACTGAAACCAGGCGTGGTGGTGCACACCTGTAATCTCAGGGCTGGGGAGGCCAAGACAGGAGGATTACTATGAGTCCCAGATGTGTAGCAGACCCAGTACTAAATAAACACCAAAAGTTTACCAAAATAAATAAATAAATAAATAAATAAGGACCAAGGATGCAGCTCAGTGTGAAGGCCTTGGGCTCAGTCCTCAGTGCCGCAAAAAAACAGCAAAAGCTGGCTCCCACCAAACAAAACGCTTCTGAACAGCGAAGAAACAGCCTGTGAGCCCGAGACGCCTGCAGCGCCAGGTGAGTGTATGCCAGCGAGGCGGCCAGCAGGGGGCGTCCAGATTATGCAAATTAATTTTTAAAAAAACAACGGGGTAAAGGTTTAAATGTTTCAAACAAATTACCCAGTCAAGGACACGCTGCCATGAACCCCTCCAAACCCTCCAGCACGTGGACAATACTCACCCCCTCATCCCCATACTTCCTGCAGCAGCCTGGGGGGCTTCTCGTTCTGAGGCAGGGGCTCCCTGCAGAGTGCAGGCTGGCCTTGAACTCACTACATAGCCCAGGCTGTGTTCAGACACCCGGGATTCTCCTGCTTCTGCCTCCCACCTACTGGGGTGATGGGTGTGCACCCCACACCTGGCTGTAATTTTTTTTTTTTTTTTTTTTTTTTTTTTTTGTGGAACCATCGATTGAACTCAGGCCCTTGTGCTTGCCAGACAAGAGCTTATTCTACTGAGCTATCTCCCTGGCCCCTGGCTGTAATTTTTTATTTTAATTTTTTTTTTTTAGTTCAATCCCTGGTACCACAGAATTTAAAAAAAGGAATTTTTTCTAATTTAGGAGAGCTGGCCAAATAGCTCAGTGGGGAACCAAGGAGATAGCTCAGTGGAATAAGTGCTTGCCTGGCAAGTGCAAGGTCCCGAGTTTGATCCCTGGTACCACCAAAAACAAAACAACAACAAAAACCAAATAGCTCAGTGGATTAAAGCATGCATACACAGGGAGGGGCTTCCATCCCCAGGCCTGCCTGCTGGCCCCGCCCCCGGGGCGGTTTGCCGAGACTGCAATTGAGACTGGGCCTGGTGTCGAAGGTCTGTAATCCCAGCTCTTGGGAGGCTTAAATAGGCTCATCACTACAAGTTCGATCTCGTAGTGAGACCCTAAACACCCTGCAGACCCTTTCCTAAAAGACAAAAAAGGGGCCAGGGAGATAGTTTAGTAGAATTAGCGCTTGCCTGGCGAGCACAAGGGCCTGAGTTCAATCCCCGGTCCTACCAAAAAAAGAAAAATCTACCTTAAAAAAAAAAAAAAATTATAACAAAAATAAATATATATTTTTACTTTTGGGTCTTGGGAATTGCACTCACCCTTCCCAGCTAGGTGCTGCACCACAGGGCTAAGCCCACAGCCCTAATGTAAGCCTTCGCTATATCTTTTTCTCACCCCTTGTATATCAGGAGCTCAAAAATCCTTTTTTTTCCCAAAAAAAATCTTAAGGAAAAAAACAAGCAATCTAATCAAAAACTGGATAAACTGTTATGTGTGGCAGCGCAGGTTTATAACCCAACTGCTCAGGAGGCTGAGGCAGGAGGGTCACAACTTTGAGGCCAGCCTGGGAAACTTAGTGAGACCCTCTCTGGAAATACAATGTGAGAACCAGCCGCTAAGTTGGGCTCGGCCAAGAGCACCTGCCCCACACAGGGCCTGGGTCCCACCCCAGCACCACAAATTAAAATAACCAATAAACTATGTGGTGCCGGCGAGATACAGTGGTCTAAAGCGCCCACTTAGGCAAGCTCAGGTGGGTGCAGGGGACTGAGGTCCGAGCCCCAGCACCACACACTGCGCCAGCCCCGGCCTCGGGGCGGCTGAGCCAGCCCCCAAAAGATACATGAATAAGTGCTTTTTTTTTTTTTTGAGCTGCACTACAATGTACTCACCACAGAACCCAGTGCCCTCGCCAGCCTAAGTGCAAGGCACAGTCCCACAGAACACCCTCCCTGGCCCAGAGGCGACATCAGCAGGGACCTTTGGCCAGACAGTGCCCGTCTCCGTGCCTGGCCAAAACGCGCTCAAGGGCTGCTTCCCTTCCATTCATTTCCTTACCCAGTTATTTAGTGCTTTCGGAGCCTGAACCCAGGCTTCACACACCGCAGGCAAAGGCTCTGCCAGCCAGCAACGACCCCACCCTCTCACTCTATTTTCTTTCTCTTTTTTAAAAAATCTCTTCTTGAGGGGCCAGGGAGATAGCTCAGTAGAATAAGCGCTTCCCTGGCAAGTGCAAGGGCCTGAGTTCAATCCCTGGTTCTGCCAAAAATAAAAAAATTAAAAAATAACAATAATAAAATAAGGAGCCGGGAAGATGGCTCCGTGGAATAAGTGCTTCCCTGGCAAGCACAAGGGCCTGAGTTCAATCCCCGGTTCCGCAAAAATAAATAAATAAATAAATAAAATGAAAATAAAAATAAAATAATAAAATAAAATCTTTTCTTGAGACACGGTCTTGCTGTGCAGTTCAGGCTGGCCTTGAGCTCACTTTGCAGCCCAGGTTGGCCTCAAAGCTGCAGCGCTCCTCCTGCTTCAGCCTCCCAAGCGCGGGCATTACAGGCATGTGCCACCACCCCCGGCCCTATTATTATTATTGTTGTTGTCATTGTTATTATAAACAGGGTCTCCCTCAGTTGCCCAGAACAGTCTCAAATGTATGATCCTCCCGCCTTGGCCTCTGAAGCCCAGAGCTCAGGGAACCCCGAGGCCAAACACTGTGTCCAGTCCTCCTCTCCCGACCAGTGTCACACAGCAGGTGCTGTCCACTGGGCTGGGCTGCTGTCCTGCACAAGATCTGCAACACTGCTTGAGAAGTGGAAACGGAAAGAAACAGCTCTCAGCTGGACACGATAAAGCACACGCGCCCGTGATCCTGGCACTCCAGAAGGCTGAGGCAGGAAGGTCACGAGTTCGATCACAGCTTGGGCAACCCAGCGACTTAGCAAATAAGTGACCCTGCTTCAAAATAAAAAATAAAGCCGGGGGCTGGGGAGATGGCTCAGTAGAATAAGCGCTTGCCTGGCAAGCACAAGGGCCTGAGTTCAATCCCTGGTTCTGCAAAAAAAAAAAATAAAAAAAAAAATAAAGCCGGGCATGGTTGCTCACACCCAGGGGGCTGAGACAGGAAGAGCACTGTAAGTTTGAAGAAAACCTGGGCTACACAGTGAGTTCAAGGTCAGCCTAAACTACGTAGTAAGATGCTATCTGCAGGTGGAATTCAGCATGAACTGCTGGAGGCTGAGACGGCCCCCTATGCCTCCCACGTCTCAGGGTCTGGCCTGAGCTGCCCTTGACAGCTCACTGGCCACATTGGTCCATGCAGGAGTCCTCTCCTACCTGGAGCCGCTGACCCAGGGCCCTACATGGGGTCACCCGCCTTGGAAATGGCTCATGCCCTCCCCTGCACCCCCAGACCTACCATAGAAGACGGAGGGCGGGTCGTGGAAGAAGGGGTAGTCGGTGCCCAGGAGCAGGTAGGCACTGTAGCTCCAGCAGCCCAGGTAGACAAGAAACTTCCAGGCGCTCTCTGGCATCTTGGCAGCATCGCGGGGCAGAAGGTGGCACCGTTTGGCCAGGGGCTGTGGGGAGAAGGAAGGGTGTGACTGGCGCTGGCGGTGCGGACCGGGAGCTGCTCCTCCAGGTTGGGGACACCGAGGCAGCACAGCAGGCAGCCGTGGGGAGCATCCGTCTGTGCCCGCCTCTGCCAGGGCGGTAACCAGAGCCCAGGCAGGACTGCCAAGGACTAAAATTAGCACTCAGCTGTTGCCTCAGGCTAGGAAGAGGGACAGCTGGGGGCCCCTGGGGCTAAAGAGAGGGAGGCCCTGGTGTCAGCCTTGGGGACCCAAGGGTGCTCAGCTCACAGGCGAGAGCCAGTTGTGATCCAGACAGGGAGTCTGAGAAGACACGGGGTTTAGGGTGACCCTGGCAGGGAATATGAGGTCACCTGGAGAGCACGAGGCTGGCAAAGCCAAAGAAACCCCAAGGAGATGAGACAAGCTAGGGGAGAGGGCGCCTGGAGGGACGGTGGGGGAGCCACAGAAAATTGGGAGGGCGGGAAGAACAGAACGATGCGTGGAGGTAGGGGCGCAAGGGGGCTGCGGGGAGCTGGGGAGGCAGGCTGAGGTTCGCCCGGACGTCAAGGGGTCGCAGGGGTGCAAGGCGACCCCAGCAGGAAGAAGAGGCTGGGAGGAAGACGGGTTGGGGTGGGACTGGGCAGAGCTTCTTATCGGGGGCGGGGCTCCGGGAAAGCCCCGCCCTCTTCCCCCGGGACTGAGGGGGCCCAAGAAGCCCGGAATGGTTGTCATGGAGACAGCCAGGGCCAGCTCCGGTAACCCCTGGCAACCAAGCTGCTGCCAAGAAGATGAGCTTTGGAAAGGGGGCAGGCTCTCCGCCCATCTCTCGGGAAGGGCGAGGCTGGAATTGGGGAGGCCGCCCTAAGCAGGCCAGGGACTGCTCCAACAAGGAGGCCTTCTGGCCTCGCCTGCACTGGTCCCTGAGGCACGTGGGGCCAGCGCAGGCCTCTCCCCGCCAGCCCTTGTCTTTGAGCCTCTGGCTTCCTGGCCGCAACCGGGAGGCTGCCGGACGCCATGCAGCCAGATAGGGACCGTGCCACCCAGTCACATCCCCCCCCCAATTCACGGTGGCCGCCAGGGTCTCCCCAAGCCCTGGGTGGGCTTGATGGCACCCAGACAACACCCCATCCTGACCTAACAAGGGCCAGCCTCTTCCCAGCCAGCAGAGAAAGGCCTCATTGTTGGTGCCGGGCGCTCTGTCCCCAGCCCTCTCCCACCTCCAGTCGGCCTGGGCGGGGCGACCCCGGCCATCTACCGGGGAGTCACAGCCTTGCTCGTGGGGCCCCAAACCCGCCCGCCAGCTCCTGCCAGAGATTCCTCTCCAGGAAAGAGACCGGGTCGAGAACAATATCACCACCGCAGTCACTCTCCTCGGCCTCTCAGGACGGAGCGCTTCGGTCGTCGCGCCTGGAGGCAGCAGAGTTCAGCGCCAAAGACGGTGGCCAGGTCATCTCTAAGAGAGGGACCACCTAGGTGGTGACCATGGCACCTAGGCCTTTGCGGCGCCTGATCCGAGGGTGGCGCTGAGCCAGAGGGGCGCGAGGCAGAAACTGGGCAGACTCGCAGCGGCACCGCTCCACCCCCGAACGCACCCCGCACTGCCCAGGGCGCGCAGCCAGGGCGCGCGGCGCAGAAGCCTTGTGCGCAGCCAGGCCCGCGTCCCGGCCCTGGGCGCCTTCCTTCCTAGCGGCCTTATCTGAAAGCACGCAGCAGCCCGAGCCCCCCACACCGCATGGAGCTGTCTCATCCTCCACCGCGGGGAGGGTCGTGCTGGGCCCCCACATCCAGAACACCCAACCCGTGAGCATCGTCCCACGGACCACACCCCCGCATCCCCCCTCCCTCCACCCTTCAAGAAAGAAAGGTGTGGGGGGCCTCCAATGTTCAGGCCTCTCCAGCTCGAGCCCCCAACCTATCCAACCCCTCCACCTCCTCAACCCGGCCAGCACCGACAGCAAGCGACGCGCGGCCTTGGGCCCTAGGTCCCCTACCGACCCAGCGGCCTGTCATCTCCCCTCTCGGGGTCTCCCCCTCCCACCTCCAGCTCCGAGTACACTGACCCGAAAGAGGCGCGCGGTGGCTGCGGAGCGCAGCGCGGTCCAGCCGAGAGCACACAGCGCCAGCAGCAGCAGCTCGGGCGGCGCCAGGTGCGCGTGCTCGGCCAGGCCGCGGCGCGCCAGTCCCCAGCCGCAGTCCGCGCAGCCCCGCGCCGCCGCCAGCGCGCTGCCCCAGCCCCGCGTCACCAGCTGTGCGTAGCTCGGCATCGGCTCGGGCGCCCCAGGCCCTGCCGAGGTCCCCGCAGCCGCCGCCATGCTGACCCCGCAGCCCGCCCGCTGTGGCCGCCGGATCCCAGCGCCTAGCGTCACGCGCTGCCGCTGGGCCGGGGGCGCGCGGCCCGGCACCAAGGACGGAGGGGGTGGGGCTGGCGGAGCTCCGCCCCGCCGGGGGCGTGCGGGGGCGGACCCTGGCGCACCCCTCTTTCAGCCAAGCAAAATCCAGGACCAACTGGACCCCTGCAGACCCCACACGTGACAGCATCGCTCTTCGCGTCCCCAGCCCACGTGTGCGTGCCCTTCTCAGGCTCCAGCCATCCGGGTCCCTGGGCTGGCGACCCAGCTCCTCGCTGTCCCAGGACCCTCGCGCCTTGTGGAACTGAGACTGGACGCTTGTAACCGTGGCCGTGTTGGAACCATCTGGTGGCCTCCCGCATCAGAAGTGTGGGGTAAATGGAGACTCCATGCGGGGTTTCCCCTTTGCCCTCCTGGAAGAGCTGCAGGGTGCGGCCCTGGAGACCTGAGACCCTTCCCCGTCCTGCTCTTCCGTCCTGGGGCAGGCTGCGGCGCTCGGTGACTGAGGTTGGGGTGGTGGAGCAGGGCTGCCTGGAGAGGACTGGGCAGGCCCAGGCTCCCCCAGTGCAAGGCCACCACGACCTGCTGGAAGCCCGGGGCTGGGCAACAGCTGGCAGTGGGGCAAGAAGCTGGCGCAAGGTCACCATTTGGCCAGGCGTGGCAGTGGACACCCGTGGTCCCAGCGCTCTGGAGGCTGAGGCAGGACTACAAGTTTGAACACACTCTGGGCAACTCAGTGAGACTGTGCAAATAAAAAGAGGCTGGGGATGTAGCTCAGCGCAAAGGTCCCGGATGCCAAATCTAATACCATCCACCTCCAGTGATCACCTTTGTCCACTGTCCAGGCCCAGGTCCTGTGCCCCAAGCGCCTAAGAGTCATCAACGAGGTCATCAATTGCCTTGGTTGGGGACAGTGACTCCCTTGGCACCAGTGGTCTGCACAATGGGTCCCACCCAGACCTCAGGCACAGTGAGACTGGGCAGGGGCAGTGGGGGAGCTCCCACGGTACCCTCAGCTGTGCACCTGACCCTCCTGAAATCTCGGGCCTGCCCAGCTCAGCACTTGGTAGCTTCTGGTCGTGCGGTCCATCCTTGGTCCCTTCTGTGACCCTCCTCCCCTACCTGCCCCCAGTCTTTGCAGGAGCAGACACCTGGCACCACAGGGCTCTTGGCCACGTGCCTCAGCCTTGCCCCTGACCTGCTCAGTGGCCTTCAAGACCCGTTTAAACTCCTCACCGTGCTGTGACACACCCCCACGGGCCTCCCGCACCTCTGTGCCCTCATTCAGGAAGGGGTTTGATCGGGGAACCAAGCACAGCTGCCCAGCCGGGCTGTACACACACGCCACTGCTCTATCTGGTCGCCATGGCACCCATCGTAACAGGAGAGCATGCCTGCCAGGCTGTTCCTCTCTGCTGGTGAAGGCGGGGAACAGGGATACTGGGGGTCTCCAGGGCTGGCATCCCCTCCCCACCCGCCTCCAGGAAGCTCATCCTGGGGACCAGCCTTGGATGCATCCCCTCCCACCCTGGCCTGCACTGGCTGCTATGGCTTGGGGAGGCGCTGAGGCATGAGCCCGACAGATCAAGGTTGTTCATCTTTCCGGCAGCCAGCCCGGCCTCGTCCAGACCAGGCTGATGGCCAATGGCCAAGGGCGCATGCTGGGCCAGCAGGGCAGGTCACAGTGGCAGCCCAGGGCCCGGGAGCTTGGGTCCCAGGAGGTCTCTGTTCTGCTGGTGACACCACCCAGTCCCGGCCCTGCTGCCTAGAGCCAAGACCGGTGGGCCCACCAATGTCCTGGGCCCAAATCCTGACACCATCGCCTGGGCTACAGGACTGATCTGGGCCTCAGTTTCTCTGGATGCCAAGTAAGGGTCCTTATGGGGCCAGGGCAAGACAGGGAAGCCACCGTGCTCCCTGCAGCTCAGAAGCACAGGCAGGGGCCCCCTTGGGGCCTTGGTCTCCACACATGAATGCACGTACGCCTGGCACAGTGCAGACAGCAGCGACAACAGGCAACACATTTATTGGCAGAGAAGTGATTGAGTGTGGGGAGGGCCCAGTCAGGGTGGTGGGGCCCTGGCTCGGGGGTCCTGTGGCCATCAGGCACTGGGCGCGTACTGCAGCACCAGGCGGTCGAAGTCGTTCTCCTTCAACAAGATGGGAGAGAGACAGAGAGGAAGGGAGGACACGTGAGTTCAGGCCTGTGCCACAGCCCAGGACTAGGGACCACAGCACGTACACTCACCTTGACCTGGTACTCCTGGATGAAGGGGTGAGACCCGTGAGCGTCCTTCAGCTGTGACAGGTAGCGGTTTGTCACCTGCAGGGGGGCAGGCAGGTCAGCCAACAGTGGGGACCTTCAGGCAGGTCAGGTGGGCCAGGCTGCACCAGGCTAAAAGGGGCCACGAGCCTGTGTTGGGCCACAGGCAGAGGCGGTGGGCTGAGACAGGGACAGTGGCCAGGATGTGAGGCAGACCAGGCACAGGGCTGGGGGCGCACGCACTGGCCCTGACAGGGGGCCTGCTCATGGGGGCACCTGCCAAGCACCCTGCTTCCAGGCCCAGGCTGTCTTCTCTGGCCGACGGCCACCCCCTTTCCCCAAAGGGCACCAAGCCCGCTCCTCTGTTGGGCCCTTGGAAGCAGCAACCGACTGCCCCTCTGTGACAGCCAGAAGCCACCACAGGACTGTCTGCAGCCAGGCACGGTGGCACCCGCTCACCATCCCAGTGCTCAGTGAGGCTGAGACAGGAGGACTCCAAGTTCGAGCTCAGCCTGAGCAACTCCGTGAAACCTTGTCCCACAGTAAAAAAGGGGCTTGGGGGAGACTCAGCGTCACAGCCCCACGTGCAGGCCCCCATCCTGCAAGAGCTAGAACAGTGAATAAAAGCCCAGTAGCTAAGCCTGCCTGCTAGCCATTAGTCGACTCACTGGGCTGAATGCCTGGCAGAGCAGCACCAGGCAGGGCCAGGCCCCGGCACCTCCGACCTGCCACGTCCCTGCCCAGCTTCCTGGCCTGCGTGACCCTGCGGATGACCATGAGCCAAGTGCAACCCTGGGCCTGGCAGTCGTGGGTGCCGGGAACTATGCCCCGGGACGCAGCAGCACAGTCTCCAAGCCCTGGCCTGAAGGGCAGCGCAGCAGCCGGGCCCTGCGCAGACACCGCCTCATGGCCTGCAGGTGTGGGGCCCCTAGCCAACACTAACTGTGCCCACAGGCTTCTGCCCCTGGGCTCAACCTGTGGGCACCTGAACTCCAGGGCTGCGAACATAGTCGTCTCACAGGAATGGAGCTGCCTGGGCCACCAGGGCCCTGAGCTCCAACTGGCAGAGAGGGCGCGTGCAGGGCCCTAGGGTCGCAACCAGAGCTGGGCCCCCTCCCCGTGCCAACTGCCACCCAGGAGGGGCCCGCGCTGCTCCCAAGCTCCACAGCTGGTGGTGGCACAGTGCTGAGCTGGAGGCCTCCCCACCTGGCCCCAGCTGCACCTACCTGTGGGGGCCTCCCCGCCTGGCCCCAGCTACACCTACCTCTGGGGGCTTGCCCAGGTGCTGTGACAGGACGAGGAGATTGACCAGCGTCTCGGGGTGGCTGCTGTCCTGCAACAGGAAAAGCGGGCTGCGTCGGTGACTGGCTGAGCCCTCCCACTCCGGCCAGCCCGCGGCAGCACAGCTCACCCTGGAGCCACGCAGGCCATACTGCCGTCCCCACGCCTGGACCAGGATGCCCGCGGCCACGGCTGGTTCCGTCCCCTGCCACCTGCTCAGGGATACGGGCAAGAAGCCCAGGATCTTGGGGACACTGCACACAGATGACACTGAGGGCTGTCAACCTGGGACAGGCACCCTTTGAAGTGGGGTAACGGTTTTTGTATGTATTTATTTATCTCTTGAGTTTTGGTATGTTGTACAGGCTGACCTTGAACTATGCAGCTCAGGCTGGCCTTAAATGTGCGGAGACCCTCCTGCCTCCGCCTCCCGAGGCCAAGATAACAGAGAGCTTTTAAGTTTTCATTTTGAGACGGGGCTCTGCTGAGCTGCTTCCACTGGGCTCCGACTTGCCACTCTCTGGCCTCAGCCTAGGGCAGCTGGGATAACACATGCTTTGGGTGCATTAGGGCACCCTCCCGTGTCCCTAGGTGTCCCTGGGGTGAGAATAAACATGTGATGCCCCACACTGAAGCAGCACCCACAAGGACAGAGAGGGACATAAGACAGGGACAGAAGCAGGATGGGCCGCAACAGGTGGGCATCAACAACCCCACCAGCCAAGCCTGGTGACTGGCACCTGGGGGGGTGACAAGAGCCCCAGGACGTGGCCACAGAGAGGCCCCTGCTGGACTGGGCCAGGAGGTGGGATCCTGGGTGCCCTGTGTGCGGGCAGCCTCAGTGAAATGACAGCAATGTGTCACAGAAACCTTGGGAAAGAAATGGGGCCGCCTTGGTAGGTGACATGTTAACACCCAGAATCTACATGGGAGCGGGGAGCCAGGGCTAGGCGCCAGCATTCACCTTGTCCAGCGCCTCTTGCAGCACCGCCTCTGCTGCTTCCCAGCGGCCCTGCGCCATGTGGCAGGCCGCCTGGCCCGTGAGCAGCAGCAGCGTGGCCGAGCACTTGTCCGCCAGCTCCTGGAAGATGTAGTAAGCATCCTGCAGCTTCTCACCACCCTGTGGGGACAGCCTCGTGTCACTGTAGGACCAGAGACCTGGGGCTGTGCTTGGCACCACAGGGTCACAGGGCCATGGAGCAGTGTGCACTGCATGACCAGCCCCAGCCTGCCCCTTTGTTAAGGAGAGTACACTTGCCAGGAGAGCCGAGAGAAGAGAGACTGGGAAAAGGCACGAAAGGCGGGCCAGATGGCTCGCAGCCGGGGCGCCAGCTGCTCTAGAGGGTGCAAGCCCAGGGGCTGAAGCCCGGCACTGCCACAAAGTACAGGGAGCTGCGGGGGGTGCAGGCCTGTGGTCTAGCACTCAGGAAGCAGAGGCAGGCAGCTCAACTGTTGTGAGTTCAAGGCCAGCCTGGGCTAAATAGTGAGTGCAAGACAAGCCCAAGTACACAGTGAGATCCTGTCTCAAAAAAAACAAAAATGTAACAATTAAAAAAAGAAAATTAAAAGAAAAAGAAAATCTGGGGGCCGGCCGGATAGCTCAGCGGTCTAAAGCGCCTCCTTGGGCAACCTTAGGCAAGCCTAGGGACAGAGGTTTGATACCTGGCACCACATGCCACACAAAGCTGGCTGCCAGGGTGGGCTGAGCCAGCCACAAAAAAATAAAACACGTACAATTTTAAAAAAGGGGGGGGGGCGATGAGATGGCTCAGTGGTCTAAAGCACCTATTTAGAACAAGCTAAGCTAAGCAAAAGCACAGGGACCACGGTTCAATCCCCAGTACCACATGCCAGCCAGCTCTGCCCCCTGGTGGGCTGAACTGGCCACACACACACAAAATAAAGAAAAAGAAAGAAAGTTAAAAAAAAAAAAAAAAAAAAAATCCAGAGTCACCAAGATAGCTTAGCAGACTAAGTACCTGCCCAGGCAAGCGCAGGGATGAGAGTTCAATCCCCAGCACCACATGCTGTGCTGGTCTTGCTCTCGGGTGCACTGAGCTGGCCAAGGAGTCTAGGCATGGTGGCGCACCCCTCTAATCCCAGTGCAGGGGGAGACTGAAAACAGGAGGATCTTTGCGAGTCTGAGCTGCATAGTGAGACCCTCTAACAAATGTATAAAACACAAAAAAGAAATGTTCAAGGGGCCAGGGAGATAGCTCAGTGGTCTAAGCACCTGCCTGGCAAGCACAAGGACCCAGGTTCAATCCCTGGTACCACATGCCATGCCAGCCCCAGGCGCTGAGCTGGTCACCAAGACCAAGTGTGGTGGTGCACACCTGTAATCCCAGGGCTGGGAAGGCTGAGACAGGAAGATCACTATGAGTCCAAGCTGCGTACCTGCATAGTGAGACTCTGCACCAAATAAATAAATACTTAAATTAAAAAAAAAAAAAAAAAAAAAAAAAACATTCAAGAGGAAACACAATGTTCAGCAGGCTGCCGGGGCCCCAGGCACCTCCATGTGAGACACTGCCCCCGCAGGAAGAGACACTGGGCGCATTGGCAAACTCTGAGACAAAAGAAGGCTTGAAAGCATGCCAAGTCCCAGAGACGAGGGAGGGTAGCCGGGAGGTGGGGCTGGGCGGCTGCGGGCCAGTGGGGGCTGGACACCTCGCGGGTCCGTGGGAACAGCCAGCCGTCACTGCCGGACCGGGGCACAGCGCCAGGCTGCCAGCACAGGGTGTCCTGTCCCTGATGGCGCTGGCCACCCGGCCCCTATGTGGCTGTGCTCAGGCTGCAGAGCAGGGTCAAGGCCGAGAGAGGTGCAGCGGGCAGTGGGCTCACCACGGCCAGGTGCACCCAGGCAGTGGCCAGCTGGGTGAGCGTGGCATCCTCATCCTGGTCCTGCATCTTCTTCAGCTCCTTCCTGGGGACAGAGAAAGCTGAGTGGCCAGGCCCCAGCCTGCTCCAGGCAGGCCTCCCGTCGGGAAACCGAGGCACAGGCTGCACAGAAGAGTGGGCTGAAGGGGTGGAAGGTGCAGGGCGTGGGGGCAGTCGGGTGTGACTCACCGGGCCAGGTCCAGGCGGTCCAGCTTAAGCAGGGTCTGCACAGTCATGGCCATGCTATGGACAGACAGGCGGCATCAGTGGGTCACCCCTTCTACAACATTGCTGCCCCCCTGTGCCCCACCTAGCACTGCTCCTCAGGTGCGGGCTCCTATGGGCACTGGGGACCACTGGTGGCTCCTACAGGACATCACAGCCACACCTGCCAGCAGAGCAAGGTCTCCTGAGGCTCCAAACAGGGCTGCCAACCCTTGTCTCTGGGCAGCCACACCAGGGCCCTGTGCCTCCCCAGCCCTTCCTGCCCGCTTTGCCCTGGCCCTTGCAGCCTCCAGGGGCCCCAGGACACCTGTCTCTGGCCCACTTCCCCGTATGGTGTCAACCACACAGGGAAGCACACTGAGGGTCACCTGTGGCCAGACGCAATGGTGTGCACCTGCAGCTCAGCTCCGGGGGGCTCAAGCCCAGGAAGTCAGGAACAGCTTGCACAGCACAAAGCGGATTGGGGGTCCGGGCACAGGGCAGCACTCACCACTCCAGGCTGTCGCCCTGGTGCAGGGTGCGAAGGGCTGCATCCAGGTTCTGGTCGTGGAAGTAAATGGACGCGGCCATGAGCAGGAAGGTAGTGTTGGCCACATCCACGCTTCTGCTCATCTCGCGGTCCAGCTCAGTCACGACAGCGTCCCTGCAAGTCACAGCCACCCAGGCCTATTGCTGAGGGCCCAGACCACATGGTGCGCCCTGTGCCCCTGGGCAGTGGTCGCCCTGCTAGAGGAGGGTGTGGTGCCCCTGGGTCTTCGCAGCCTGACTCCTCCTACCTGGCCAAGATGTCAGCTTATAAAAGGCCTTGGCGTGGAACCCACTGAGCCCCTGGGCTGGGGGGTCCAGGCTGAGTCCTACTGCCCCATGCAGTGGTAGGAAGGCCTCGGGACTGCGTGGGTGCCTGACATCTTTGTCTCTGTCCTCTTAGTTCCACCAACACATGCTACTCTTGCTTGGGACAGAACCCAAGGTATGCGTACACCCACACGTGCCATGCAGGTAAGGGAAACTAAGGCAGGGACCAGGGAGGCCCTGGCTGAGGACTCTGCCACCTGTCCTGTCCTGTCCACCACACCCAGCCGGCCTCACCTGCGGGCCTCATTGGCCAGGTATTCGGCAAACATGCGCACGGCCTGGAGCTCCGGGGCTGAGGAGGGCCTGATCTCATCCAGCACCACGCCATACTTCCTCTGTGGGGGACACACAGTCAGCCTCTGCCTGCCCTCAAGGGCTTCAACTCAAGAGACTGGGTCTCGCTAGGCCGCCCAGGCTGGCCTCAAACTCCAGACTCTCATGCTTCAGCCTCCTAAGCAGAAATCCTGAGTGGGGTTCTATGCTCCTGGGGCAGTTACAGCACCATCCTGCTGAGGCTCTCTGGATAAAGCCTGGCCTAGTCGGGGCTCCTGTAGCCCAGTCTTGGTGACACTCACTGCAGTACCCCGGAGAGACCAGCAGGAGTCGCCAAACACAGGCAGCAGGGGGGCTGCTCTAAAATCAACCCAGAGCCCATTGCTGGAGTAGGGCCTGCCCCACCCTATCCCAGCTGCCTTCCCCTGGTGCCAAGGGCAGCAAAGGGGGCAGCACCCCGGACAGGGCAGTGTTGGCCGTGGGGAAGAATCCAGCACCATCCAACAGCACTGCTCCCTCTTACCCCAGACTGAACCCAAGGAGTGCTATGCCATTTCCCTAGATGGTTTTATTTTATTCTGAGGCAAGATCTAAGTAAAATGTCTAAGGCTAGGGAGACAGCTCGGTGGCCTAAGCACCTGCCTGGCAAGCGCAAGGATCCAGGTTTAATCCCTGGTATTGCATGCCATGCTGGCCCCAGGTGCTGAGCTGGCTATCAAAGCTGGGTGTCGTGGTGCACACCTGTGATCCCAGTGCTGGGGAGGCTGAGACAGGAAGACCACTACGGATCTGAGCTGCACAGCGAGATACTGCACCAAATAAATAAAAAATAAAACATCCAGGCCAGCCTCCAGCTCACAATCCTCCTGCCTCAGCCTACTGAACAGCTGAGACCAGAGGCACGCACCGCCACAGCCAGCTACCCAACACACTAAGCTGGCGCTGGTAACTCCTCCTGTCACCCCAGTACTTTAGAGGCTGAGACAGGAGGGTGGCGAGCTGGAGGCCAGCCTGGGCTACCAGCCAGACTGTACACAGCCAGTGTATGGGTCCACAGGCCTAGCTGTCCAGGAACTGGACAGGCTGCACCACAAGCCTGCAGTGCTCTAACCCCAAGGGGACATGGCTGCCTGCCACCCCCGTCTCCAGGCTGCCTGGCCCGTCGCTACCCACACTCACCTGTGCAAGGTATGCTCTGTACAGGAAGACGTCCCGCTCCACTTCCCTCTCTGCGCTAGACAGCTGCAGGGACACAGGCGGGAGGGTTGGGGCGCAGCTTGGCACCAGGTGGCCATGCAGCCCCTCCCCGCCTGGGGGTGAATGTGTTCCCATCACAGATGAAGGAGACCTGGTCCCAGGGCCTCAGTTCAGTGTCACTAAGAGTCCCAGTCACTCTGCCCAGGTCTCGGTGGCTGTCACTTGGAACAGGTCTTCTATTTGGATGAACCTCAGATGTCTCAAAGGTGGGTGCCAGTAACAGAAGCCTGGGCTCCTCAAACCACCCTCAGGAAAAAAAGACAAATGTTGGCTCTTGTCATCTTTGGGAAAAGTGTGGCCTCAGCTGCCCTGTGTACAACACGGGAAGCATAGCTGGCCCTACAGGGCCACCAGGCCCTGAGGACCCGGTGGGTGGTCAGAAGGCGGACAACAAGGACAAGTGTGCCCCAGGCCTTGGCTGAGCAAAGCTCAGGACAGCGTGGCTTCCCTGAGTTCACGCCTCGGGGATTGCACACAAACCTACTCTGCGGCCCCCGCGGCCAGACGATGGGAGCCTGGAGTCAGCTTTAAACGAAGTGAGGCCGTCCCCGCACCTGGGGAGGCACAGCAAGTCTGGCCCGACCAGGGAACTCAGCGAGACCCTGACTCAAACTAAAAAGGTAGAAAGGGCAGGCAGGGGCACAGCTTGGTACGGAGGCCCTGGGCTTAGCCCTCACTACTGCGAAAGGCACACAGCGCCCTTGCGGAATGAGGACTACATAGAGGCAGGTGGAAGTGCAGAGCTCTGCTGGCCAGCACCGCCCTCCAGACAGGAAGCACTGTGACAAGGAGCAGACCCAGCGTCACCACGAGATGAGATCCTGCTAGGGTGTCCTCAGTGAGAGCTGCTGGCCCTATGTGGGCAGCTGCACACATGGGTGGCCAAGGACACCTCAGACACATGGAGACAGCCACTTTGGGGGCTGGAACTTCAAGCCCCCTGCGCCCCACAGCCCCACTGCCTGTCACACACCATTCCCTCAGGCATGCGTCCTGGGAAGAGTCCCTGCCTGAAACTGAGTGGGAGCCTAGGGTTCCCAGCCCTGCCAGGGCGGGAGGGGTCACAGTCACAGCCACCAGAAGCTGCGGCACCCATGCAGCAGCTGAAATGTCCCTCAGCTGCAGTCTGCGGCACCCCAGGCTACGCTTCCCTCTCTGGCCAGGTCCCCATATACAGCTGGGGACCACGCCTCCTCGCTGGTCCTGGTGGCCGGGGCTGCATCTGCATCTCCATCCCTGTGTCCCTCCACTTTCTCTAGGGAACACCTGGCATCACCTAGAGAACCTTCACATCCTCAGAGACACTTTTTGGAAACAAGACCCATCCCCAGGTCACAGCCAGACCCAGCTTTGGGGACACCATATGCCCAAGACTACTGGCCCATGGACAGGATGAAATCACGTCCCACAGCTCAGCAGGGTTGACACCATCCCTCTAGGCACATCAGAACATCTCAGTAGGGTGGCAATGTCCCCAAGGAGGGCAACAGGTCCTGGTTTCAGTCAGAGTGCCGAAGTTCAGGCAGTAGGACACATGACAATTCCAATAGCTCGTCACTGCAATGCAAACTTCTGGCAGAAGCCTAAAGCAGATCCTGTCCATAATGCTGACGTGCACAATGTCCCTAATGACAGTTATAGTTCCCATCTGACATAAGGAGAAACAGGCGTGATGACAAGGAACTGGCTTTTTGGTCATGAACTTGCAACAATTCTCCTGCCTCGGCCTCCTGCATGCTGGGATGATGGGTGTGCACCACAACCCCGGCTGGGAACTGGTTTTTGACTGCAGGACACAGGCTGTCCTTGTCCTAGTGCCCAGCCAGGTGCTAAGCACAGTCACAATGTGAGCAGAGGAGTCCCCACCAGTCTGCCCCTGCCACTGTCCCTCCCCACAAGAGAGCAGCTTCAAGGAACTCCAGGTGGACCCCAGCTGACGGGATGGGCAGCCACCAGGCCAGCTGGGATGCAGATTCCTCCCCAGGGTCCAGCCACTACCAAGTCGGCCTGGTGAGAGCCACAGGGGCTGGCCTGTAGGAGCTGGGAGACAATAAACCCTCTAGGGGTAGCTGCCCCTGCTACGTGTTCCACATTTGCAGGGCCAACTGCAGGGCAAGGGCATTCAAAACAAAACCTGCACATGAGCCGGTGTGGAGACCCATGCCTGTGGTCCTAGCACTTGGGAGGCTGAGGCAGGAGGATCACTGAGTTGAGGCTAGCCTGGCCAACATAGCAAGACAATGTCTCAAAATTTTAAACATAAACTCTCCCGCAATCCCCCCCCCACAAAAAAAAACCCCTGCATCTGTAGTGAACAGGTACAGGCTTCCTATTCCTGGTGTTATTCACTAAGTAACAGAAGAGACAGCTATCTACACAGCACTTATTGCTTTAGGTATTTTAAGTCACCCAGAATTGATTTCAAGGCTACACAGGAGTAGATTACAATGCAAATACCATAACTCGTTTTTTGAGGTACTGACACAGGGTCTCACTATGTGGTCCAGGCTGACCTTGAGCTAACTATGCAGCCCAGGCTAGCCTCCAATGCACAGCAGCCCTCCTGACTTAGCCTCCCGAGTGTTGCGATGACAGCATGAGCCACCACCCTGGCAAGGATAAAACACGACCAAGGAAACACTGCTTCAGCGCCTCCGAACAGCTTCCTCGAGCCTGAGACTCCATGGGCTGAGTGTGCACGCACACACACGCGGCGTCTGTGTGGGGGCTGGAACGTGGGGCCTTGCACGTGCCGAGCACAAGTCCCAAAGAGCTACCCTGCACTTCTTTTATGTTGGCGCATCCTGAGCTCAGCCCCACGATGGCACCCCAAGGTCACCCTTCCTCACACTGCAGTGCCAAAGGCAGGAGCGCTGGGGGGAGGGGTGGCCTGAACTGTCTGGCCACGCCCACGGGAAGCTGGGCAGGTCGTTCTCTGCCTCAGTCCTTTGCCCTCCTTCCACGGTGCCCATCTGAAGTGTGTGTCCTATGTATTCACCCCCTCTGTTTTTACTTTTTCTTTTTGGTGCAGGAGACTGAAGCCAACGCCTCACGCGAGCTAAGCGAGCACTCACCACAGAGCTGCACCCTCAGCCTACTGTTTTAGGAACTTAAGCTGTAACCCTAAGACCCTGCCACATGCCTGTGCCCTTACACGTTCCCCAACAGCTTGGCCTCAAGGTAACTGTGACAAGCCAGGCGTAGTGACACACCTGTAATCTCAGCTCTTGATGAGGCTGAGGCTGGACGATGGCCAGGGCCACGCCAGCCCAGGCCACTCAGGCAGAACCTGTCTCATACTGAAAACTAAGCCAGGTGTTGGGGCACAGAGCTGTAATCCCAGCACCCAGGAAGCTGAGGCAGGAGGTTCGACGCGACCTTGAGGCCAGCCTGGGCTACACAGTGAGTTCTAAGACAGCCAGAAGTGCATAGCGAGACTGTCACAAGGAGTACCCTTCTCCACCAAAAAAGAAAATTTAAGAAGGGCTGAGGACGTGGCTCAGAACTACTGAACTCAATCCCCAACACTGAGGTGAGGAGTGACAGCACCTACATCCCTAAGGGATCCCCCCCAAAAAACGTTCCCCACTGCTCCTTCTGATGTCAGAACCCTCCTGGGTGGCCCCTGCCTGATGGGCTGTTTTCCAGCCCTCAAATGGCCATGTGGCCATGTCCTATCATTCCTGATTTCTCTATTTTCTGGGTCATGGTTTGTTTCTCTTGCTAGGTTGACTTTGTCCCACCCTCCAAGGCGAGTCTTTTGTTTTGTTTTGTTGACACAGGGTCTTGCTAGGCAGCTTAGGCTGGCCCTGAGCTCGCTCTGCAGCCCAGGCTGGTCTTAAACTCGCAATGGTCCTCCTGCCTCAGCCTCCCCCGAGTAATTGCAGGCATGCAGCACCACATCAGGGTTAGGCTGACATTTTATGAGAGCTGGGATTTTGTCTGTTTTGTTCCTGCATCTGGCAGGAATAAAGTATCCGATTCACACAAACCTCAGCTAAAACACGAATGAATGAGCGGGCTTTGGGAAACAGCCAGAACAGTCTAGAATTGTGACATCGGGAAAGCCGCTTCTCAAACTGAAAACTTGGTGTTCTCACCAGAAAACAAAGACAAGCAAACGTCCTTATCTTATGGGAACTGAGTTTCGGGTACGACAGTGATCGTGGCCCTCATCAGCAAGGGCAATGGTTCACATCTTTAATCCCATTACTTGGGATGCTGAGAGGCTGAGGCAGGAGGATAACTTGGCCCCAGGAGTTCCAGACCAGCCTGGGCACGAGACTGCGAAACCGCATTTCAAAAATTATTACGGTGACATAAATATTTCTCTTACTCAAATGCTGCTCAGGACGCCTCGTGCGCCACTCTATCACTAACATAAACAAGGGCCGGGGAGATGGCTCAGTGGAACAAGCGCCTGCCTGGCAAGCGCAGGGGCCTGAGTTCAATCCCTAGTTCTGCCAAAAAATAAAAATAAATAAAATAAACAAACAGCATGCAATGTTACTGCTTTGCTCCGGAAGGTGAATATTCCTCACTAACTGCGAAGAAGTGTGCGGAGAAGACGGCGCGGGAAGGGGACCAGGTTTTAGAGGTAGAGGGGCAGCGGCCCGGCAGCCAGCGAGCCGCCCCGCCTCCTGAGGGCCCCGCCCCGGCGCGCCCGCACCTTCACCCGCTGCGCCTCGTTGATACACTGCTGGTAGCTGCCGATGTAGAAGGCATTCTTCACGTCGAACAATTCGTCCACCTCCCCGGAGTTGCCAGGGGCCGAGCCGGGGGCTGGAGGTGCCATGTCGCTGTCGCCTTACTCGCTGCTCTTCCGGAGAGACACGTCGCCCGGAAACTAACGTTCCATCACAGAGCACTATGGGAAATGTAGTTTACTTGTTTCTAGTGGCATCGACTGAGCCAATGGGAAGCTCTTATACTAAGAGGGCGGGAATCGCAAGCGCGACTCGCAAGGCACTGCGGGAATTGTAGTTTCATTTGGTCCTGCGAGCATGTGGAATTCGGGAAATACAGCGAGATGTGGTCAAAGCTGCGATTGGTCAAATGAGCTGGAGTGGGTAGGACCACGCAGGAAGCGGATCCAATAAACGGGAAACAATTCGTAAACGTCATATATACGTGCCGGAAGCACTACTCAAAGGACCTCCGGGCTGCCCGAGAGGATGGGGGGCTTCGCGGAACTTGGGCTATCATCGTGGCTAGTGGAACAGTGTCGGCAGCTCGGCTTGAAGGAGCCCACGCCCGTGCAGCTCGGCTGCATTCCGGCCATCCTGGAAGGTGAGTGTGGCCGGGAAGTTTTCCCTTGAAGCGTCTCCTTTCCCTCCGCGTAGCCTTTGCCCAGGCAGGTCCCAGGACGTGAGGGGCACCCTCGGGTGTCACGGGCAAGCCCGGGCTCCAGGGGCCGATCCGGCAGTGTTGGCATTTAGTTTGCAAGCCTGACTCTCCGTTTGTATGCACGTGAGCGATGTCATCTCCGAAAATTTTTTAGACTCCAAGCTCGAACGACTAATCAGTAATACTGCGAAGAATCGGCAGAACTGGGCACTTCACAGTTAGAAACGGTTGCTGTCATGCTGTAAATCCAGGCCTCCGTGGTCCTGGGTCTGCGCTTCTCCTTGCTCTTCTGGCCCAACTAAGTTTTCCCCCTAAAGAGATGCCCACAGGAAACCAAGACGCGACAAGTTGAGGGACCTAGTCTACAAAGAGACTGATCAACAGGGAATATGGGGTGCAGATCGAGATCACGGGAATTATAGGGCCCCCGAGTTCAGGCTCTCTGAGAAAGCAGGTGTCGGCGAGCCACATCTCCTGCCAGCTGGATGTAAATTCCTCTCCAGCCTGAGGCTCACCTGCTGCGTCTTGGGCGAGCCTCTGAGCCTCAGCTTCACTTGAACTCTCTCTCTGTCTCTCTTGGTTTTTTTGTTTTTTTGGTTTTTTTTGTACCGGGGATTGAGCTCAGGACTTTGCGCCTCTTCTACTGATCTATCTCCCCAGCCCCTTCACCTCTTATCAAAGGGGGACTGTCTCTCTCTCTCTCTCTCTCTCTCTCTCTCTCTTTCCCTCCCTCCCTCCTTCCCCTCCCCCCCCCCCGCTAAATTTGTCAGTTACCCCCAGAGGAAAGCTGTCAGTGCCAGAACAGAAGGCATAGTCTAGGGCTGGGTACAGAGTGGCTGTCAACATTAGCTGTCAGTGGGCTGGGGCTCAGTGGTAGAGTGCTTGCCCAGCACATGAAGTTCTGGCGGAATCCCCATCATCAATCAATCAATCATCAATATAGAACTTTGTGCTTATGGGACCAGCTGTCTGTGCCTGGCATGCACTGACATAGCTTTGCCTTCTGTGCAGGTCGGGATTGCTTGGGCTGTGCCAAAACAGGCAGTGGCAAGACAGCGGCGTTTGTCCTGCCCATCTTGCAGAAGCTATCAGAGGATCCCTATGGCATCTTCTGCCTGGTCCTGACCCCTACCAGGTGAGCCCCCCACCAGCCCCCACACGCAGACCAGCACCTTGATCTCTCAGCACTTTCTCACGAGAGGAGAATCAGGCCTGTGTCTTACGGGTGCTGCAGAATTGAACAAGATGCATGAGCAGAAAGCATTCAGGGCAAGTGCTAGCCAGATGGGAGCTCCCAGCAGGCTCACAGCCCAGGCATTGTAGGCAGAGGGACCTGCATGCAAAGCATCAGAAAGGCAGAGCCAAAAGGCTCAGGGGCCTGACATAGTGCAGCCAGCTTGCCTGGGGCCTTGACCCCAGGTAGAGGCTAGCCTTTATCCTGAGGGCATGTGCAGGAGAGGGCAGAGTGGAAGCCAGGCAGGATGACATAGCAGCAGGGAGGCAGGCACAGCACTGCCGCCCCCAACCCAGCCTGCCTTCCCACCGCCCGCAGGGAGCTGGCCTACCAGATTGCAGAGCAGTTCCGGGTGCTGGGGAAGCCACTGGGCCTGAAAGACTGCATCATCGTTGGCGGCATGGGTACGTCCAGCATCTGGGCAGGCACTGGGCATGGGACCCCTGTAGCTTCAGAGTGTCCAGCGAGCCTTATCCCTCCACCTGCCCCCAGACATGGTAACCCAGGCCCTGGAGCTCTCCCGGAAACCACACGTGGTGATCGCCACTCCAGGGCGCCTGGCTGACCACCTCCGAAGCTCCAACACCTTCCACATCAAAAAGATCCGCTTCCTGGTAAGCTGGCGGGCCTGGTGCCTGGGGAAGGGTCCTGGTTACCCCATCATCTGTTCAGGAACATGGGTCCCCCAAGATGGTCCAGGGAGGAGTTAGAAATAGTGACAAGGCCAGTTCAGGGACTTAAAGAATTTAGTCCTAGTGCAGATGGCGGGTGGGTGCCTTGGTTCAGAGGAAAGCCAGGAGGAGTCAGGGTCCTCACCAATGGCTGCCAGCTCTGCCCCATCCCCGCCCCAGGTGATGGATGAGGCGGACCGGCTATTGGAGCAGGGCTGCACCGACTTCACGGCTGACCTGGAAACCATCCTGGCAGCTGTGCCGGCACACAGGCAGACACTGCTCTTCAGCGCCACGCTCACTGACACGCTGCGGGAGCTGCAGGGCCTGGCCACCAACCAGCCCTTTTTCTGGGAGGCGCAGGCCCCGTGAGTTCCCTGGCACCGGCAGGGTGGACCAAGGTAGGCTGGTGGCTGTGGTGACTAGGGGGGAAGCTGAGGCCTGTCTCCCCTCCTCAGGGTCCGCACCGTGGAGCAGCTGGACCAGCGCTACCTGCTGGTGCCCGAGAAGGTGAAGGACGCCTACCTAGTGCACCTGGTGCAGAGCTTCCAGGATGAGCACGAGGACTGGTCCATTATCATCTTTACCAACACATGCAAGTGAGCACACCAGCCTCTGCCTAGACCGGGAGCCAGGCCTGGGCTCGTCCTGCACGGAGGCCCAGGAAGCCCCTACCGCGCTGTGGCCACCGCCAGCTTACCATGGTCTGGGTTCCCCATGGAACCCCTGGGTTGGCTTAGGCCTCAGGGCCCTTGGATAGGAAGTAGCGTAGATCTACTGAGAACCACCCTAGGTGTCACAGTGCCCCATGTGGGGACCTCACAGGGCCCCTCCTCAAGCTCTTCAGGGGGGTTGTCAGGAAAGAAGAACAGAGGTCCTACCGCGAGAGGAGAGCCCCGGGGCAGCGCAGGCTCGGGGGTGGCAGGGCCTCCACGGCTTACAAGCTGCTGGCATCTGTTGGGGCCCTGAGAGTGCCGAGCATTGAGCCCAGGGCCTTGTGCCTGCTGAGACGGCCGCACCCCACCCAGCACTAGCTCTGC